CACAGTTGGCTACAGTATTCCTAGATGACATCATGCTAGGGACCACCATGGAACCTGCCAATTGTTGGTGAAATGCAATTGTGTGACACAGCCTGAGTACATTTCCACATCTCTAGGTAGGCGTTCTGTATCCAGTCTGGTTAGTCTGTTGAGTATCTCTGTTTTTCAGGCTGGGTTAAACTCCACTGTGGGTGTGTGCCGTCATTTATTTAACCGCTCTTCTTTGCATGAACATCTCATTTGCTTTGCAATCACCTACAATGCTCTAACGAATAACCTTGTGCAATGTGTTTTCCTATTTTTGGAGGTGAGCCTTCAAGATAAATCCTAAACACAGGAATGTCGTGTCATGTCCACTAATACAATTGTTCATTTTATCATCGTGCTCTGACCTCACAGAGATGCCAGGAAGAGCAAAGTGGGCTGAATCTGAACAAGTCTGGCTCCACTGGGCTCCTGCTTTCAGAACCCTTCCTCAGATGCTAACTGGATGCTTCCCAGAGGAGAGGCATGTGCACTTTACCTGGGACAGATGGCCCTAGCAGAGTCCTGCATGCCTGGATGCCTACGTCCCTCACGTGCACTGCCGCACCCCCAGCCCCCCAACCACCCCCGCAGAAAGCACTGCCAGGCAGGCCAGCCTTTCTCAGTTGCTGCTGGAGAGTTTATTGATTGACACAAGTGGGCAGAGTATAGACCCCCAGGCTCCTCCCTGGGGAAATTAAGTCACACTCACTATGTGGCTTGGTGGTGGGAAGGTGGCAGGATTGACATCACCATGGAAACCCCACAAGAGAGGGAAGTAGAATCTGAAGAAACCCAGCAAGAGATGGGTTCTCAGGGATGTGCTGGACATCCGAGAGCTTTGTCAGCCTCCCACACTGCACCAAGGCCTTGGGATCTGCAGGTGATGCTCGTCAGCACTGGATGCTAGTGTGGGGTCAGGCTCACTGCCCCTGCGGCAGACACCCCAGTGTGGGCAATGAGAGCTTCCTCTCATCCCTCCCAGACATGCACAAGACTGCACTACTTGATTTCCCTACTGAGTTAACTTAGCTCCTCTATCACAGAAAATTTTCATAGCTTAGGCTTTTAACAGGATTAGCACCTTCTGAAAACCCAGCAACTCCCTCCTCCAGGAATGGGGAATCATTTAGGGGATAGTGAACCACTACCCTGGGTGGGAGACTTACTTCATTTTCACTTCAGATATTTATTGATTCATGGTTATTACTTTTTAATTGGATACTGTTAGCTTTTTAAAAGTTTGCCCAGAGCCCCACATTCAAAACCCAAATGGCAAAGGCCCAGCTGCCTGAGTCCCACAGACCTGGGTGCTACCTGCCATCCCCAGCCCATTACCACCTGTCCCTGATGGATACCCAGGCCCGAGGAGCATGCAGGAACCATGAGACTGAGTGCAACATGGGCCTCATCCCTCTCACCAGGTGACAAGTGACATCTACATGTGACACCCTGGAACATAGACTAGCAGGAAGGCTCCACCACGAAGGTACTCAGGACGGAGCTGGGTAAAAATGCACACAGACCTCTGCCCTCCTCATCTCAGGGGAAGGGTTGGCACCCCAGGTTGCAGCAGAAGAAGGCTGAGCAGGAGGCAATGGCCTTTGGGTGTGCAAGGAAGTTCAAGAAGGGCACTTGAGCCCAGGCCCTGATGGCCAAGGGAGCCAGCTGTCTGTGAGAAGGAGGCAATGCGTACAGAGCCCTGGTGCCCAGCATCGGGCAGCAGAGGCCTCTGCGGCGGGAGACTGAGGTCAGAGCTCACAGCAGGCAGATCCCGTGGACAAGCAGTGCTTGAGGGTCCTACTATGCCGGGCCTGTCCTGGTTCCCACAGACACCTGCAGCTTGTTCCAGTGGCTGTGTCCTCAGCATGGCCATCACAGCCTCCTCTGCAAGGATCTCAGGGGTGAGGACAGAAGGAGCCTAGAGCTGTCTCTTCCATCGGAGGGAGTGTCAACCGCAGGGCTTCAGTCGTGTGGGCCGGCAGAGAACCCTGCCTGCTTCTCCAAAGTCTCAACTTAAAGCAGGCCTGAACCCTGCCTTGCAGATGTCCTGAGGTGACCACCGTGAAGACCGTGCATGCTGCGCCTCTCCTGGTACTGGTGTATCCTGACCTCTGCCTGGTGATCCATGTCTACACGGCCTCCTGGGCTGGCCCCACTCCTTTCCTCCGAGCATCAGCTGAAGAAGGAGCATAGAGAAAGAGCCTGGGTGCTTCTGTCTGTGCTGCAGTTTGTCTGAGTTTTAATCATCTATTTTAATCAAATGTGATTAATTAATTTGGTGTCGTGCAGCAACATTGCATTCTTAGTATGTGGTTGCTCTACACTTCCAAGCAAAAGTCTGTGATGTTGGGAGGAAAGCCTGGAACTGTGTCTTTGTTTCTTGGGATTTTAGTGAGATTCTCAGTTCCCAAAGGCAGAGTCTGCATGCCAACCTGTAGGGCATGCAGTAGCCATCCCTAGCCTAGGCTGCCCAGGAAAAACAGTGGACCCTGGTGGCCACTGATGTCCATGAAACAGACCAGCCAAGAAGCAAAGCCAAAGAGTCTTGGGGCACAGAGGAGAGACACACTGGCCACAGAAGCAGAGCAGGCTTAGTGTGACCAAATTGTCCACACTCAAACCTGCCCGAAGCCCAGGACCCAGGGAGGAATAGTCAGGCCCAGGCTCCACGGTCTGGCAGTCAGGAACATATTGTACAGAAGTCTGACAAATCACCTAGAGTTCCACCCAGTCTCTTGGGGCCTTTGTAAAATGGAAAGGACAAGTAAAGCAGTGATCACCTCCAGGGTGGCCATGAAAATGAGGGGCTCATGTACATACGACACAACTCAACTAGGAGTAACACGCAGAAGGCAAACACCTGACATCTAAGCTGTGAACATCTGTGTGCACAGATGGGTACCTGATGTGCCAGTCTCCACCTGTGCTGTCTCCACCTGCTGTGCAACTTGGGAAGGACCAGGGTGACACTGAGGCTTAGAAGAGGTGGCTGTGCTATGACCCAGCCCCCGCCTTGCATGTGATTTTGGGGCTTAGACAAGTTGGTTCAAGATTGAACCCTGGGTACCCCACATCCAGGGGCCCCTCTGGAGTCCAGCCCAGTGGATCTAACTGCAGCTGTCTCTGCTTTCAGGGGTCAAGAGAGCTCAAGGGGACAGGGTTTGTGCATGAGAGGCTCAGCAGGAGGACATGTGGCTCAGCACTGCACATCCTCCATCCTGTGAGCTGTTCCAACCGCCACCTGGGCAGCTCACAGTCCGCACAGCTCCCAAAAATTGTGCATCCCATAGGGAAGGAGGAGGTGAAGGGAGGGTGGGGACAAGGGGAAAAAATGAGGACCAAGACCTGTCATGTAAAGGTGCAAGATCCCAGTAATGAATGTAACTGTACTGTCTACCTAGAATGTACCAATAAATTCAATTTTAAAAAAAAATTGTGCATCCCAGAGAGGTTTTGTTTTCCATCCCTGAGGGTCATAATGGCAGTAATTTTCATTTCCTGTTACTGTTCCCAAGACTACATGGGAGATGACACACACAGTAAAGGAATGGAGATTTCACAGATGCAGCTCTGTGGACAGGACCCTGAGCTGTCCCAGACACATAGAGGGGACTGCACCAGAATAACACCTGGGCACAGCAAGAGTAGTGTCCTGCAGCATGCACAGGTGGCCTGGCACTGGCCTGTGGCCTTGGCCGGTCCCTTCTGTCCCCTTCCCATGGGGTGGCGCCTCAGACTCTGACTGCAGGTCTGTTGGGGCACCAATGTGCACCAGGAGTCACCAGCTCCTGTCCCAGGGCACTGAAGGTCCTGCTTATGGTCGAGAGACTCATGGTGAACACTGCTCCTCTCCATCCCCTAGACCAGAGCTGGGTCCACACAGCACCTGGTCCCCATGCAGCCCAGGCTGTCTGCACACTGGATAGAGGCCATGGCTGACAGTCTGTGCATTTAATTTGCAAAGCTAGGAAATGACCCCATCAACCATGGGCCTCCTCTGTCTGTGAGTCAGTGTCTGGGTGGCAGCGGGTTGCAGAGGACAAGTAGGGAGGCATTCATAGCCCACTGAGATCTCACCATAGCTGAGTACTGCACATGTCCTTATGTCCCCAATGCCAGCCCCAGCATGGGTGCTATAGCTCATGGCCCTCCCAGGAAGAAGTGTCCTGTTTGTCCTGGGAAACATCACCTGCCTGGACAGTGACTATCCTTCTAGGAAATCAGCAGTATGATGTTGGGAATGCTCCAAGCTACCATCCACCATGCCTCCCACACCAGAGTCCCCAGGGGATGCCGGCTCAGCCCAGTGCTTGACCAGCCACTGGGCAGCAGAGCCACATCTAAAGGCAGCTTATCACAAAGCAGCCATGCTTCCTCAGGATGGAGAACTGCAAGGGTGGATGCTGGGACCCCCACATCCTGACATGGCTCAGAGTCAGGCAACTTGAAGGCAAATCCATCCATGCTCTTCCATCCACACCAGCCCTGCTGTGTTCTGAAAACCAGCAGGAGCTTGCAGTAAAAATTCAAACCCACATGGCACAAATCCTCTGGAAGTCCCTGTCCCAGACCCTGATCAGCGACAGCTTTGTTCCCATTGTCCCAGGCCAGGAGCTCAAAGATCTTAGACACACAGGGTTCTTCCATTTACAACAAACCAGCATATGTCAAAGATAACAGGTTGAAAACATGCTTCGTACTGACATATCTGTGGTCAGAAATTGTGAGCTGTGCCACTGTATGCTGGGGACACCATGCTGTGACTGGCTCTGTAGGATTTTGTCCCTGTTGAGCCACCTAAGGGACTCACTTGGCTTCTGCTCTTCCTGTCCTTATTGGTCTCCCTCAGAGGCACCTGCAGGCCCTGACAGCAGCTTTTGGGGGTCGCATTGCTCCATCCATCAGGCACCCACCTCCCCGAAGCCCTACGACAGCCCTGTCCTAATCCCCTCCTCTGCCCCCTCTCTCTGCAGAGTGACTACTCCAGCGACACAGAGAGTGAGGACAACTTCCTCATGATGCCCCCGCGGGACCACCTGGGGCTCAGCGTCTTCTCCATGCTCTGCTGCTTCTGGCCGCTGGGCATCGCAGCCTTCTACCTGTCCCATGAGGTGAGGCCTCCACACACCTATCAGTCAAAACACCATGCACTGTGTATGCCAGAAGGCAGTCAGCTCGAGTGACTGAGGGGCAGGCAGGGTTGGGCATTGGGCTGGGCAAGCCTTACCCAGGTTTGCTGTCCTTCACCTGGGTGTGCTGACCTTCAGGGAAAGGCCTGCGTAATGGGGGGCTGGGTTTGCTTGGTAGAGGGCAGAGCCTCCGGGGACCCAACCTTCAGGCCCCAGGGTGGGGAGCAAGCACCAGGCAAGGATGCCATAGGGAAGGACAGAGGCATCCCTGCCCTCGAGGAAGGCCCATGTGTGGACTCCGGTCCTGTGGGATTCCAGTGCCTAACCCAGGGGAAGCAGGGTCACGTTATGATTCTTCCCTGGGCCCGTGAGCTCTGTCCTCTCTACCACAACCCCTCCTGGGTCATTCCTAGGTCATCCCCGAAGGAGCCTCAGTTGATTTTCTCCTCTAGTGGAGGATGAGCTCTCATTCATTCAGGAGCCCTCTATCTCTATATTCTTTTTCATCAAGAGAGACAGATGTCTTTGCTCACCAGTGAAGCATGAAATTACAGTCTCATCTCAGCCTCTACCATCATCTCAGCCAAGACAGGGAGAGGCAGTCCCACGTGGGCACAGGCATGGAGTCCCCCAGTGTGGATGCAGTCATGTGGGTACAGGTACAGGAGGCCCAGCCCCCACAGGGTGCAGACAAGGAAGGCCCGAGGGTGCTCACTCATGGACCTCTCTGCTCCAAGGGCTCTGGGATCAAGGCTGCAGCTGGCTGGCCCAGGCAGGTCCTTCTTCAGGCTGCTAAGTGGCATCCCCGACCAGCGCAGCAGTTCTCTTGAGGCTTCTGTGCAGTGGCCTTGGCTTGACTGGCAGAGGAGAAGCCTTAAATCATTTTCTTTCCCCATTGTGCAGCCCAGATGGTGCCCAGCCACTTCCCTGGCAGTCCCAGTTGGAGCAGGGAACTAGGAAGGGCTGTGGCCATCCTGAGGGCAGGAGCCTCCTCAGGGAAAGGAGCAGAGAAAATGGCTGCTGGCAGGGGCAGGGGACACAGTTTCTCCAGGGCCCATGTGGCCTCATTAGTCTGTCTGGGCTTGTCCTTGTTAATGTGTTCCATAATGGGTACCAAAGGTCCTTCTCCAGCAGCACAGCACAGGCAGAATGCCAGGTACCTGGTGCCTGGACCAGGAGGAGGCAAGATCAGGGGATGTACTGGGACCTGGAGAAGGGACTTTAAGTGGATGGGTAGACAGAAGGAAGGGTGTTTGGATGCATGGATGGATGGATGGATGGACAGATGCATGCCCGGATGGCTGTATGGGTAGATGGAGAGATAGTGGATGGGTGGATGGTGGGTGGATGCATGCACAGATGGATGATGAATGGATAGATAAGTGGATGGGTAGATGGGTGGGTAAGTGAATGGATGGGTGTATGGATGAGTAGCTGGATGAGTGGGTGGAAAGATGCCCACAGTGAGCTGAATCTCAAACAAGAAGGAGCAGCCTCACTCTAAAGGGGCGATCAGGACCCTTGAAAGGTGCTCTTGCTCCCAGCCTGGCACAGACATGGCCACTGGCCTTCCCATGCACTGAATGGGGTGGCAGCCATAGTGTCCTCCCCTGCCTCCTATACCCAGTCCCCAGTTGTTTCTGGGAGTTAGGGTGGACACACAAACTTCCTGGATTTGGATTTCCAAACTCAGGATCAGGACAGATATTTCTATTTTAGATTCCACAGGGAGAGGTGCTGCTTGTCCCCACAGGTGGCTGTGGGCTCCGTGCATTTTGGCAGGTGCTAGGTGGGGAGAGCCAGAGAGGCTGCACCCTGGCCACCATCCTCCGATGTCTCTGCTGCCCCACATGTCCCCTCCCAGCTGATGCTATCTTCTCAGGACTAGGGCACACAGTGGACAGCACCTTTGTCCTAAAGATTGCAATTACAACAAAATTAGGGCTGCTGTTGCAAGGCCAGTGCTTGTGTTCTTTCTCTCAGGAAGTGATTTCATTCTCAGCATGGTATGAGCCTCTTGGATTGTGACTGATGACTCATGACATTGTGTTCCCACAGTGGTAAGGGGATTTTTATTATTCATGAAGCAGTGAAAACAAATGTAGCTCTTACAGGCTTCTGAGTTCATTTTTTAGAGGTAAACCTTGGGATGCTGTGTGTGAGGGAGGGGTGGTCTGCATGGCAGGATGGGGGGAACAGCCCCACAGGACCCCCAGGACCCCCCAATACCCTACTGGGTGCCCTCCCTGCCCGTGACACAGTAGGGCTGCACTTCCATAAGAAACTGAGGTGGCTGGCTGTGCCCTCATCTCTTCCAAGCAGGTCCCTCCAAGTCCCCTTTCTGGTGGGTCTCCCCTCTCAGTCTGCAGCTGTGGCCATTCTTGGCTAGGCTGTGGTCCCCTCCTGGAGTGGCACAACTTACATGCAGACACAGGGCCCCCAGTCAGCCAGTAGGGACAGCACCACACAGGAGGATGAGTAGCAGAAAGCCAGCAGACACAGGAAAGAATCAGCAAAATTCAATAAGCACCACCTGTTCTGAGCCAGGCTGGAGGGAGATGGAGCCCACTCCAAGGCCTTTTAGTCCCCAAAGCACAACTTGTGGGGCTCAAGGGAAGTGACACTTGAAGAGTACATGCCCAGCCCCCAAGGCCACCTGTTGTCCACAGGAAACTTCCACCACCCAGGGTGACTTTAGGGTTTCCCTTTCATTACAGCTGCCATTTCAGTGCACACTGACAGCTACACTGCATTTGCTCATTGTCAAAGCACCACTCAGTGAGGGCTGAGAAACAGATGCAGCCGTTTAGAAGAATAGGGCAAAACCCCGCATGGCAGCTTGATTAGATCAGCCGTGCTGGGAATTCACAAGGCTGTTGTTTTGGTTCTGTCCTCTTCAGCAGGCTGCTCCTCCCTGCCCCAGTTTCCCTATCCTAGCAGCTGTGGAAGTTGTTCCTACCAGGTAGAGGCAGGAATTGGGGTGCAAGTCCCAGGAGACTTTGGGAGCCACTGGAGTGCAAGGATGGTGCCCTGCGGGATCCCTGGGTGACCAGCCTGTGGATCCACCACCTGTGGAAGCAGAAAGAGAGCTGCAGAGCATCAGAGCCCTCAGAGCTCTTTCCAGAGGATGGCAGCTATAGTGACGCCTGCGTGATGAGGGCAGTGCTGCTGGACACTCACTACTGCGCCCTCCTCCTGCTGCTGTCCTAGCCTCAGTGCCATCTTCCAGGGCACTTGCAGGAGACACACATTTTCCAGCACCTCCTCAGACCTGCAACAGAAGGTTGGGCATGGGCTGTCCCTGGCCTCAGCAGTGATGGAGCCAGGCATGCAGGTTGGGGATGGTAGTAGGGGCAGGGCCATATTTCCCACAGAGCTCACTACCTGTGACCCCTGTGCTCCTGGGCTCAGAGAAGAGGCAGCACCCACTAACTTAAGAATGAGGCAGGGCCAGAGATTTAGCCCAGTGGTGCCACCACCTTCCTCTCAAGCACAAGGTCTGAGTTCAATCCCCAGTACCGAAAGAAAAAAGAATGAGGCTTCCAAGTGATGCAAACTGCCAGGTGACCCACACTTGCTCTTACTGAACCTCTGCAATGAGTCTCCAGTTAAATGAGTCCTCCATTTAAATGAAAACAAATGAGGTTCAGGGTTGGACAACTCCCAGAGACACGGGAAGGTGCAGAGAGGCACAGGAGCAGACTTCCACGCATCCATTGTTCAAAGCCCAGTGTCGACAACCTTACTGAATTCCATCTGTAGGAATTCAGATGGAAGTAAACAAAAGTAAGACCATAGTCCTCCTCCAGAATCCCCCGTCCTCATGGGCCACATGGGGGCTGTGGTGGCTCAGGAACAGGGTGGTGGAAATGAGCTGTGGGATTTCCCTTGGGGCCCTATTCTGGGTCCCCAGGGACAGCGGCTGGATACCCAAAGGGAGCAGATCTGGGACAGACATTGAGGAGATGTGTGTGGAGTCCTCCAGAGAGTGCTCGGCATTCAGGCATTTATTATGTCATTATTTAATTTCATTTCATAAAATGCTTCTTTCTTTACTAACTGCAACATTATAACAATAATTAAATGAGCAAAGGGTTTTCAGAGCCAGATTATGAACTTTATGAATAGCACCAGCAATGGGAGTTGGGCAAATGGAGCCAGTGACCGTGTCCTTGAGCTCTGGTCACGATCTGGTCCTCAATAACCACTGTGCCCTTGGCCCTGTGCCAGTGCTGGAGCTCAGCAGTGAGCAGAATCCATGTCCCGTGGAGGAGCACAAGCAGTGGACAGGGAGCAGGAGAGGGTGCAGGAGAGCCAGGGAGCGGGAGAGAGCTGTGAGCCATGTGGGGATGACAGAGCTGGATAGGGACTCTGGCGGTGTTTGTGGAAGGATCTGCTGAAGGGGAACATTGCTGACCGAGCATGGGGCCCGTCCTGAGGCTCTCCTGGGATCTGAACCAAGTTACCACAGGGCCAGGACTGGAATGTCGGTCAGGAGATGGCTGCAGGTTTGGTGGAGGAGAGAGGGAAGTGTCTGAGGAGAGTGTTTGCAGCAGTGAACAGTCACCGTGCTCCCTGGCAGGGAAGATTGGGGCTCAGCAGCAGTATCCTAGGGTAGTCCAGGCTGGAACAGGAGTGCAGGCCCACAGTGTAAAGCATGAGGTACGAGGGTTGATTGGCCACCTCAGCATGTTCAGGGAGTTGGTCACACTGTGCTGCAAAGAGCCAGACACCGTGAAGGCACCGTGAAGGGCCAAGAGGGAAATGGGGTGCTGGGCACACACTTGTGGCGACACCTGGACCTTATGCCTGTAGTCCCTGCATCCTGTGAGCACTGTGCACTTTGGTTAATGCCTTGCACACATACAAGAGGAGCAAGGGGAAGGCGGCAGCCTCTGCACTCTCTGAAGAGTCTGTCTGCCGTGGTAATCGGCCAGGCTGGTCACAGCTAAAGACCACAGAGCATGAGGCAGGAGCTCCAG